TTCTATTTTCGATCAATTGTTTACACTTAATGCTTCAGGAATAAATTAGAAATAAGTCATCATCAACGACTAGTCGGAGAGCCAAATTTCTAATTCCGTTTAAAGCAAGAAGTCTTAATTTTCTGATCGGAATTAGGAGTACAAAATAGGTAAAATACTAAAAGACAATGTCTTAATTGATTAAGTCGTCATCAACAACTTTTCAGTTGGAGAGCCAAAATCGAAAACATAGAATAAGTCATCATCAACAACCTTTCGGTTGGAGAGCCAAATTCGTAGTTTCTCTAAGACAGTGATCCTTTATATATTTTATACTTATTATTCCTGTGTTTAATGAATTATAAGGTTCGAATAAAATATAGTTTAGAAAAATTTAATAAAGAAAAGACAGGCAAGATATAAGAGAGGAAACAAAGACCCTTGATTTAGCGATTATGTTAAAATTTTAAATTTTGAAAAATGTGAAAATTGGTGCCCCTGCTAACAAATGTTACCAGGTAACGAAGCAGGGCGGTAACGCGTAGGAAAATCCCACCGCTGCCACTATCAGCTCGACAGGCCAAAAAGGCGGGTATCAAAAAACTAAGGATCAAAACAGATTCTCGATACTTGGTGCAGAGCGTTGAGGAATGGATACCTAAATGGAAACAGAACGATTGTATTTTCTTAGCTCTAAACAGCAATGACAAATAGAATATATATATATATACATTGGCTGCAACATTGCGCCTTCTGCATGTTCTATAGAATTGAAATTTGGATACAAATTTTATATTTATTATTTGCCACAAGGTTCGATGTAGGCAGCGTTGACTGCGCCGGCACAATTATTAATGACTATTTATTATATTTATTATTTAGTAGAAGGAGAAAAGAAATAATAATTTCTTTTGTCCTTCTAACTATTTTTATAAGCATTTCTTAGCTAAAGGCATTCTCTCGGTAAGATATTTGACGTTATCAGGGTGTCAAATATCCTCAAGCATAGCTTCGCTGCGTTGCGATGCTTTTATATGCTTGGGTTGATTTGAAATTAAATTTATTCTACATGGTTGTCAATTAACTTACTTTTTAAAAGACTAGTATTCTAACAATCCACCGTGAAAATTCCAGTTTTCGTCCCCGAAAACCCTGATGCCTTGAACTTAGAAATGCACATACTAGGACGATGTATTAACAAAATTTCTTTAATATTTCGAAAACAATTATACAATTTTATGTTGAATATATTATGGGTAAAAATAGTAGTGGCTTCAGTAATAGCCTTAATTCTCCGTAAGTTATTGCATTACGCGACAGCGTATTATTGTTATAATGCTATACTATTATTCCATAATAACCTCGCAGTACAATGATATTAACAGAGAATTTTCTTTTAAATGGTTAACATTATTGTTAAAATTTTGAAAAAAAAGTTCCGATTATATAATTAAAATCAGGATACAGCAATAACATATTGAATATCAAACCCGATTACTTACTAAGTACTAAATGGTTTCATAAAAATGTTCAAATATAAAACATAAAACAGCTTTCAAAATTTAATTTCAAATGCAAAGCAGAAAGCATACATTTTCAGAACTGTTTTACAAAATAGCATGCCCTCATTTATTTATTTAATTATTTTTCTTTATAAGATTCTGAAATCCGATGTAAGTACTGTAGATTTTATTTTTAATTTTTCGCTTTAGCATCGAAAATTGAACATTCTTCCAGAAAATTTGGGAAATTTTCAAAGAAATGATTGCTAGAAAATTTCTCAAACGATTGCTACGATAAACTTTTGTATTCTTAATTTTTTATTACACAAAAATTTAATAATCGCAAAATGGCTTTCCGTAATTGCAACTGAAATGTGAACTGAAAGATTTTTAATTTTTTTACTTTACTACTGAAACAAATTTTCTTGATCGCAGCATGGTACATTTCCAAACCGTCTCAGTGGTGCTTGATTTGATTAGGCACTTTTATATATTTTTTTTTTAACCTTGTGCCCGCACATCCCCAAGTAGTACGAACGCAATTGGGAACCGTCAGATTAGTGACGTAATGTCAGTGTCAGTGCGTAGCAGTCCAGTACCTCATAGTAATCTTGATGTATGCGTGTGTATCGTGATATGTAACTAATCAGCACGTCAGAGGCTAGTGATTCATGCCTATACCTATAGTGTGTATTGTGCAGTCGTTCCGTAGTTCTCGTATTGTTCACGCGTGTGCCTTATTGATATTTCCCATTTTTTTAATTGTGTTTTTTTTTAAAGAAATGGCTTCGAATAGTGGCGAATTGGTTCCGGGAAGTTGCGTGACTACTGATCACACTGAAGAAATAGAATGTGATTCTTCTATGTGTTCATATGAGTAGTCCTCAAGTGACAGTGCCGAATATGCTATGAGTGTGATTAGGCGGGGCAAGGAGATTTGTTCGTTGATCCCAGGTGACGAATTTGTAACCATGTGGGGTGTCCTCTTAACTAAGCTGTTCGTGAGTTTTAATAAGAAGAACCCAATGTTTTTGTTTTAATAAAATAAGAAGATACTTCAAGGGAAAAATTTTCCTCCAGCAGATTGAATCGGAAAGAGGGTAAGTCCAATAAAATTCAGTCTTATTGTATTCTTTGTATTAGAGAAACTTAAATGGATGTTCGATTTATTCAAGAACTGCGAATAAAATTTCTTTGCCCGACTCAGTCGATCCCCAATTTTCAAATAATATTATAAACACATCATTCCCAAAGACTTAAAGAATCTCGTGAAAACAATTCCAATAATTTACAAAATTTCAAAAAAATATTTTGAAACCATTTGTATATTTACTTATGTTCGAAGTTGAAATAAATTTAAAGTAAAAGAAACGGAAGTCGAGCTTGTTTTTAGTAAGGCAGCCTGAGTACGGCTAACGACAGGTGCTATGGTCGGCAGCGACGGCTGTGTTCGACGACCCTACTTAAGAAAACTGTTGATAAATCCGGCAAAATTTAAATAATTTTTTTTTTATATTCGCAACTATCAAAAGTTGGCTTTCGAAAATTGTAATAACAACAAGGGGAAAATATCCGTTTATTTCAAATAAGTTTTACGAAACTTTGATTATTTAAAACATCCCTAATTGCATATTTTGAGAATTTAAATAGAGAATGATTCAAAATAATGAGATATACAGCCTACAATGTTTGTTCGGTGGTGTTCCCGCGTGGTCGGCGGTGACTGCTATGCTCGGCGGCGGCCGCTGGCTAGTACTTCGCACGCTCGGAAATGACAGGGTCGAGAAAATTGGTCATAAATACCGCGTAAATAAACCGATTTTTGTCTAGCGAATATCTTATTATTCCTTGAAATCATAGTTCCAACATTTTTCCCTACTCTCGCTTGTCGTCTATCTTTAACGGAAATGCCTGAAAAATGACTCTAAAGTTGGGGCGCTCCGGAAACGACATTTTTGACAATCTGCTAGTGAAATTCTGTTTTTATTATCCTACTGACTTTTGTTAATTCAATTAAATAAACAATTCTTTTTTAAACAAAATGTATTGTTCATATTTGGACAATCTTTCTAAAGACGGGTGGTAATCATGCGGTCAGCGGCGTTCTCGCGTGGTCGGCGGCGACTACCATGCTCGGCGGCGGCCGCCGGCAAGTATCTCGCGCGCTCGAAAATGACAGGATCGAAAATTTTGGTCGTAAATACCACAAAAATAAACCGATTTTTGTTTAGTAAGTTCTATATTATTCCTCGGAATCATAGTAACAATATTTTTCCCTGATTCTCGAGTGTCGCGAATTTTCAACGGAAATGCCTCAAAAATGACTTTAAAGTTGGGGCGCTCCGGAAGCGACATTTTTGACAGTGAACGTGTGGGTACATATTTTAACTATAAAGTTGAATAATAATAACTAAAGCAATTATTGTTAGTGATAAAATTTACGTCCTGCGTAAGATTGGTAAAGTCTATAGGTTTACTTTCTCAACCACCGCGCAAAGGCTGTCCGTCAGGCGGCTGCTATGGTCGGCGACGGCTACCTTCGTTGAGCATTCGTGCGCTCGGAGAGTGGTGCTACTGAGAAATTGTTAATAAGTCCCCCAAAATAATTGCAATTTTTTCTTAGGACATAGATAATTGTTCTCCAGAGCAAAAGCTACAATTTTTTCTGTAAGGTCAATTGTTACGGAAATCGTTAGAAATGCCTCAAAATTGGCTTCGAAGTTGATCATTCCGAAAATTGACTTTAGTGGTATCAATAGTAAAATTTTGCTTTTCTTAGCCCCTTCTCTTTTTGTAAACTCAGTCAAGCTTCTTGCAAGATTAAAATAATGTGTAACGTTTGGTTTATTCTTATTATTATTACTGTTTTCTTTTTAGGCGGACATTATTCACCATCTTCCACAGAGGGTGACTAATCAACTATATCCGTACGTGTGGAGATGTACAAGCTGTGCGTACAAGTTGCGGTTATCAAGCTCCCTGACACCTGGTTCGAGAAATGTCCATTTTGTGCGCGGGCAAAAAGTTTGCGATAACCCCTTGTGGGTCAAAATCAAATAATTAGGTCAGAAAGCAAAACACGGGCCTTTTTCATTTCAGTGCTCTTACTAATTGTAAAAAAAAAATAAAATAAAACGCAATTAATGGTTATTATTTAGACTAACCTATCAAAATTTTCTCAATATATATCTTGTAAAATGTTTAATTCATCTTAAGATAATTAAATTTGAATATTTAGATTACGCAGTGAATAAATCATTAAGCTATTTTCTTTTATGTTAATAAAATTTTTCTTAGTAACTTAATAATGAGATTAAAAAAGTCCCATTTAGTAGAATGAGGAAATCTTTTAATGTTGAATTTATATTAGACAAAAATTTTGAAACTGAGTTTGAATTTTTTTTTTTTTAATTTCTTTGGATAATTATGTGTAAGAAGAAATAGATAAATAGACCTGCGACATCAAACTGTTTCGGGTGGCGTTTTTGAACGTTTCTTAGGGTCATTGTGGACACTAACCTCTTAAGTCGAAGATCTTCATTGTTGTCTTGCAAGGTTATGTTTGGCGGAACTAGTGGCGAGAAGGTGGTTGGCGATTCTTTCCCAATGAAGTCTCCTCTACCTGGATTCCACGCAGCTGGGAACCTAACCCTTCGGTTAGTCATCTGATCTTCACTGATGGTCTATCTTCGGACGTTGCAAACTTTATCTCCTTTCCTTGGGTAGTTGCTGGTTCAGTTGAGGTTGTTTTTTGTTGTACGGTCACCTCCTTGTTGACAGCGGTTGTACTTGTAGAAGGGATATCCTCGTATAATCCAGCAACATCCTTGGGTGTTGGAGTTTTAATCGATGGCTTCCTTCGTTGTGACGTTTGGATACTCTCATCACTCGACTTTGAGAAAATTGTTTGAGACAGTTTATATGTCCCGGTTTTCAGCGGTGATCGACACAGGTACATAAGCAGAAATGCACATAGGAGAATAATTCCTCCATATGATCCGTAAATCAAGGTCGAGTGTCTTCCTTGATTATGTTGCTGTAAGGCGAACTCTTGAAGTTGTTGCTCTAGTTCATCTAGGGTTTTTGAATTCAACTCGAATGCTGATAAATTCGGGTTAATTTCAAGGATGGACTTCGTTAGGACTCTGGTATTCTCGAGCAGGTGATTATATTTTAGTAGTGTTGGAGAGAGTTTCGTTAAGTTTAAATGCAGATCTGATTCAAAAATAAATTCTGATTGGCCAGCTTGTGAGGTGGTGGCTGGAATTATGGCGTCCTTGGTTTTAAGGGAACACCCTGGACCCAATTTGAGGATCCCGACTTCGCTTAGCATGATCTTGATTGGACTCATGGAATGGCATGCTATTGTCGCCTTTTCTGGTGCAGCAAAGGAATAGATCCGTCCGCCTATGGTGGTCAAAGGCTTCCAGTAAGACTTGGATTCGCTGGTTACTCTGATGTTGCAAAACCTTAAAGCTTCCACGTTGGGCTTGATCAACAATAAGGCTTTACAGGACGCTCGTTCACGGAGATCGTAGATTGGGGCGCCTTGAAGACAGGCGTGAAAAGATGTTGTTGTTTTACACAAATTCCATTCCTGCTCCTTTAACAAGAGGTATGTTCGTTGATCCTCGTCAATAATAAGGTAATCATATTCAGATTTTATGTATGCTCTTCCGGTACCATTCTCGAGCATTTCCTGAGTGGTTGGGAGTGAGTGTAATTTGAAGGCTCGATAATTATATTTTTCTAAGAGTGGTATGTCGATGAGGACCTTAAGTTGATGATTCTCACACAGGATGGTGATGGTGGAGATACGCATCAGTTCATCGATGCTGATCCTAGGTCCGGTCAATGGAAACTGAACATCCTTGAGGTTATCCTGCACTTCTCGCAGAATTGGTTCCAGTTGTTCTGATGTTATGAGGCCGGGGTGTAGATATCCTTTCCTGGCTTCATGAACTGCTTCTAACATAGTGGTAGCGGCCTGCATGTTGTGATCGAGGCCCAATCTTAATGCCTTGGCGATGGCATATGTCAGATTTCTTCTCTCCATTTCGGCCTTCGACTTAGTACTTCCTACGGCAATCAGGACTTGGAGTTGTTCCTGCAGTTCCTTCAGCAAAGATCCATGTTGTTGCACCTGGGAGTGCAGCGAATCGAGTTGTGATCTCACTACGTGGGTTTGTTTTCCCACCAGGTGTGACAAGTTGGCCTGGGCTTCGTTGAGATCTTGGATGGCAGCACTATATTTTTCTCCGTCGTCATAGGTCAGAACGCCGACGATTGGTCCTACAATTTTTCCAAGGAATCCCAATAGTGGGACTGAACGCCTTGCTCGTAGTTGGGTGGTCATCTTGGTTGGTAAGGTCTTTTTAGTATTTTCCAGTTCTTCGATCTGGACTCGAAACTGTTTTTGAAGTTCTGAGGCCATTTCCCATTTATCTTCCCAGTCATAGTATTCGACTAATTCGTTGCACCATTCCTCCTCAGGTTTACACTGCTGTTTTAGTCGCTGCAGCCTGCTCCTTAGGTCGTCAAAGAATCGAGTCTGCTTGCCCACATCCAGGTATACGGCAATCCTCCAGTTGCTGACGGACCTCCTGACTTCTCCGATATATTCGAAATATATCCCGCTGCTGGACTTGAAAGGAGTGATCTGGTAACGATCACTGGCGGTAGTCATCTCCACATCGTGGGAATAGGTCTGCTTCGTTGTCATCACTAAGGTTAGGAAGAGGCATGTCAAAGTTAGATAATTGGTCATCATCGCTTGTTTGTCAATCTAGAATCAGAAAGAACCAGTTAATATGGGTTTAGAATTAAGTCAGGAATTTCACAATTGGGCAACCCTGACCTTATCCCTATGTTTTGCAAACCTTTCACCGTTTTTGGTTTCGAGGATCACATTGTTATTCTGTGTGAATCCTACAAGGGTATACGGTCCTTCTGCGCGCTTATCAAACTTATTTGACCGAACTTCTTTAAAAACATACACCTTGTCGCCTATTTTGGCATTCAAAGGTCGTGCTTTACGATCGTAGATCTCTTTTGATCGTTCTTTTGATCGAACTAGATATTTAGCAGCTAAATTTTGCAGTTCGTTCATCCGGGTAATTAAGTCTTTTAGATAGGATCCATATGTTTCGATTTCGGGCCCTTGAGGTAACGAACTGGGTGCTTTAGCCAAATGTCCAAACACGAGTTCGTATGGGGTAAAATTGGTTGCCTCATGAACAGATGTATTATAATTATATTATTGGTTATGCTCCCAAACAACGTCAAGAGGTTCGATAGCCTTAATTAATCGTTCGTAAGGCTTTCTATTCTTCACCGGTTTGTTCTCTGTTGTCCTCCAATCGTTCTGTTTCCATTTAGGTATCCATTCCTCAACGCTCTGCACCAAGTATCGAGAATCTGTTTTGATCCTTAGTTTTTTGATACCCGCCTTTTTGGCCTGTCGAGCTGCCATAGTGGCTGCTTCGATTTCGGAAGCGTTATTCGTTTGACGTCCGTTATAACGTCGAGAAATGTTTAAAGGATTGTTTGGACCAAACCACACGCCAATTCCTGCTTTTGGACTGGATCCTCCATTTTCGCAGCAGGCTCCATCAACGAAGACGTCCGTGTACGGGTCGGGACCTTGATTCTGAGGGGCGTTGGTTTTGAGTTTAGGTGATTTAAGTGGAGTAGTATGGACAGGAAGATTAGGGAAAGCACTATAGTCTTCTCGGAACACCGGGGGATCCGAATCTTCATCTGTTCCTTCCTCCGATTCTTCTTTAGCACTTTCATCACTTGATGATGAATAGGACGGTTCCTTAGTTGTTTCCTCTTTTGGAGCAGTGTTTCCTCGGGGTCGTAGTCTGTTGGCAATGCAGCTTTCGTCCGCTTCATTAACGGGAATATCCTGCGGGGGTCGATAGGTTTCGTCACTATCAGCCATTGCAGATTTGGTGCTTCCAACAGGTCGCCCTCGACGAGGAGGTTCCTTGGCAGCCGTCTTAGTGGGATTTAACTTAGGTTTAATAGAAGGACCCTTTGAACTGCTTGGTTGTCCCGAGCTGGTACTTGGTTCCGGATCCTTTGGACGTTTTAAGATTGTTTTTCTTGGTTCCGTTACCCCTTTTGGTGCCGTGGTAACGGACGGTCGACGAGGAGGTTCCTTTCCTGAATGTTTTGGGTTAAACAACCTTTGCGTAGTCCCAAGGTTGGAGGAAGGTCCAGGTCGGGGCTTAGTTTGTTTTGGTTTGAGTTTTTCTTGTAAACTACCAAATCGTTGTCGAGTTGTTGACGCGCTGGCCTTTTCAGTTCCTTCGGACTTTCTTTCTTTCTCCTTCGGGTTCACTCGTGCAGTTTCTTTCGCTTCGCTGGTTGAGGAACGCGTTATAGGTAATGCCCGACATGTCTTCACCTTTTCGCTCGGCTCGACATCACTGGATTCCGTTTTACGAGTGATTGTCCTTTTCCGAGGTTTGGGCTTTTCGAGATCCGAGGAGAATGATTCTGACCAACTGGAATCTGAATTCGACCCGTTCTCTTCGTCAACAGGATTTGTTGATAACGCCTCAACAATCCTATTGATTTTTCCGGGCTTATATTCGAACTTATATTGATAATTCTGAAGACGAATTCTCCATCTTTGAATTCGTGGTCCCGGATTATCGATATAGGTCATCCAGTGTACTGGCTCAAAATCACAGGCTAGAACGAACTCGCGACCATATAAATAGGGTTTGAAATGTTCAGTCGCGTACAGTATGGCTAAGCACTCCTTTTCAGCTTTAGGGTAAGATTGTTCTGCACTCTTCAGTACCTTTGAGTAATATGCCACTGGCAAATCAATTCCGTCCCTTGCTTGCGTAAGAATTGCACCTACAGCGTGTTCCGAAGCATCGCACGTTAATTTAAAGGTTTCGCTAAAGTTCGGATACTGCAGAATAGGTTCACGGCACAAATATCGTCTTAGATAACGAAAACTTCTCTTCTGGGGTTTTTCCCATTTCCACTCGGTGTCCTTTTTTAAAAGTTTAGTCAAAGGTTTAGCCCACTTTGCGTAGTTTTCAATAAACCGTCTATATCCAGAAAGACAAAGAAAACTTTTAATGTCCCTAGGGGTTTTTGGGAGAGGGAATTTTCGAATTGCTGTGATTTTATTTGGGTTCGGCTTTATTCCTTCTTCACTTATTATATGTCCAAGATATGCGACTTCGGTTTTTAAGAATTCGCATTTATCTGGCTGAAGTTTCAAATTAGCATCCCTAAGTCAATTGAAAAGTCTACGTGCTCGTCTGTCGTGTTCTTCTAGAGTGTCAGAGTAAATAATAATGTCATCTAAGTACACAAACGCTTCATCATCGAGCATAGTACTTAAAACATTATTTAGCAATCGTTGGAATGTGGGTGGGGCGTTCTTTATGCCCATGGGCATCCGCTTGTACTCATAGTGACCGTTGCGAGACGAGAAGGCAGTTTTATGTCTATCGTCAGGGTGAGTTTCCACCTGATGGAAACCACTGGCAAGGTCAAAAACGGTGAAGTAGCGTGCGGTGCCCAACCGGTCGAATATTGAGGTTATGTTGGGCAGTGGGAAAGCGTCTCCTATGATGTTTTCGTTTAGGACTCTGTAGTCTACCACAACACGCCACTTTTTCTCACCGGACGCGTCAAGTTTCTTTGGGACGATCAGTAGTGGCGAGTTGAATGGAGAATTAGAATGTCCTATAATTCC